AAACTCATCCGAGCCCCCGAGACTCCACTTCAAACATCCAGACAAGTCTAAAACCATCACACAAACTCTCTCACGCGATCAAAACATAAAAATAATATCTAGAACTACGAATCGAACACCAAAATGCATGAATTTCAAAGAAAAGATCATGAACCTCTAGGATTGCAACCAAGCATCCAAATCTCTCAAATCAACTCCTAATGGCACCAAATTTTGTAAACAAGTTCTAAATAGCATAACGAACTTATTCTAAGTCCCAAAATCAAATTTCCATTCCGGTCATACGCCCAAGCCCAAAATCATGATACGAACCTATGGGAGCCATCAAAACATCGTTCCATGGTCGTTTTCACAAAGTCAGATATTGGTCAACATGATCAACTTAGGCTTCTAAACCAAGAATCAAAGTGTGTAAATCAACCCAAAACCTTCCCAAACGAAACCAATCAACCTCGTGAGTCATAAGGCCAAAATTACATATGTGTGAAGCATCAAAAGGGGAAACGGGGCGCAAGTACACAAAATGACTGGTCGGGTAGTTATAGAGGCATAGTTGGGCGTGCTTAAATTTTAGCGTCGTTGCCAGGAAATTAACGGCTGGAATTCTTAGTTTAGTCAGCTTTCTCGACCTGAAATTCATTATATTGAAGCTCTAACGTTTGTAGTCTTATGTGTTACAAGTGCATGCCTAGAACTCCTCAGGAACTGGTGAATTGTTTGAAGTATTACCATAGCCTAAGAAAGCTTTCAAGGCGCTAAATCGAGCAAACAAGAAATACAAATGACAACAGAACTCAATAGAATGAATCAAACTAGACATGGGTGATGTCATTGACAATCAAAACAACAAAAACATTGGGAATGACCCGAACAATCAAGGTGTATCACCTCTTGTGTCAGAAGTAACCTTGTATGATTGGACACAACCCACCGTTGAAAATTTGGCAACCGCAATTACAGCCCCTTAGATCCAAGCGTAATCATTTTAAATCACAAACAACTTGCTACATTTGTTGCACAACAAAGGACTAGTCTCGAAGTATTACATTGAAGATCCATAGTAGCATCTGAAAATCTTCCTATCGATTTGTGTCACGCAAAGGCAATCGAATATGACACCGGAAGAAATAAGACTGTTGTTGTTTCCATTCTCAGTGATGGGAGAGACTCATACTTGGCTCAACTCGCTCTCCTTAAACTCCATCACTAATTGGGAGGAATTAGTCAAGCAGTTTTTGAACAAGTTCTACCCACCCAATAAGACTGCCAAGCAAGTTGATGAGATATTAAGCTTTAGGCTGAAACACTGCAAGAAATGTGGGAGAGGTTCAAGGGGATGTTGGTCAAGTGTCCACACCACGGCATTCCTGATCAGATGTTGGGGCAAAGGTTCTACATGGGATTGGAAACTAGCTTGAAGGCCAATGTTGATGCTTTAGTATGGGGAACATTTTTGAGCAAATCATTCAGATAATGTAAGGTCTTATTTGATAAAATGGCTCAAAACTATGATGGATGATAAGAGACTACACAATCACTCCTATAGTTCACTCAATAGCTCTAGACCCAAACAACTCCATAGCTGAGAATATGGCCACTCTGATGACGTAAATGAGTATCCTCACCAAAAAGATTGATGAGTCGGGCCAAAAGTAGGTGCACATAGTTGACATGACAAATGGAGGATTATGCACACCATACATTAATCAACCATATGTGTGCTTGTGGAGTGGTGAAAGTGACAATCAGAACTATCAAGAGAATATGAACTATATGGGCAACTATGGAGGCCAGAGACTATGTGGGCAACAACAGTACAACAATAATAATAATCTTGGAGTTGTACGACCACATGGTCATGGTGTGACTTATCAAAGGCAACATGGGTACAATTAGAATCAGCAGCTAGCTTATCAACAACCTCAACAACAACAGATAGTGAGACAAGATGATGGGTCCAGTGGGAAAGTTGAAGAAAAGGTCCACTAGATGAAATAAAAGTTAGTATCACACGACTCGGCTATCAAGGGCATTGAGGTTCAACTAGGGCAGATATCGATGGCCCTTAACAATCGTCCTCAAGGGACGCTACCTGCAGACACACATGTTAACTCGAAAGAGCAGGTCCCGAAGCAGCTGATAGCTATGAGTCTGAGAAATAGTAGATATCTTGATCTAGAGCAAGAAATTGCTCGCAAAAGCCGACCAACTAAGATACTTGTGCTAGTAGCAATTGAGGTAGATGAGACAACTAAGCTAACAGTAATAGTGTAACAGGCCTAGGAGGAACTAAACAAAGAAAAAGAGGTTACAACAGAAACTGAGCAAGGGTAGGAGGAAGTATCTGAAAGAGTGTCTGAACAAAATCCCACCAAAATCACAGGAAGGAAGAGACCTCCAGTACCCTTCCCGCAAAGGTTGGCAAAATATCAGAAGGATGAGCAATATAAAAAATTCATGGAGATGTAGAAGCAGATTCAGGTGAACATCCCACTTATTGATGCCTTGAGGGAGATGCCCGGTTATGCAAAGATGATCAAGGACTTGATATCTCGCAAGTTCAACTTTCAAGACTTGGAAACTGTGTCATTGAATCAAACATATAGTGTTGTTGTGAAAAGACCTATAGCTGAGAAGCTATCCAACCCAGGGAGTTTTACAATTTTGTGCACCATAGGTGGCTATGCTTTTGCTAAAGCATTGTGTGATTTGGGGGCGAGCACAAACTTTATGACCTTGTCTATCTATAAAAGTTTAGGCATTGGAAGATAAAGGCCCACATCTATGTTATTACAGCTAGCTGACCGAACGGTGAAGAGTCCATCAGGTATACTTGACGATGTACTTGTGCAGGTTGGAAAATTTGTGTTTCCGGTAGATTTTGTCATTCTAGACTACCATGTCGATGAAGAGATGTCCATAATTTTGAGAAGGCCATTCTTGGCCACAGGAGAGCTCTGATTTTATGAAACTGGGGAGATAAAGATGAGACCGAATGATGAAGAAATAACGTTCAATGTGAAGAAGTCCATACGGCAACCTAGTGAGTTTGCTAATTGCTCTCTGATTGAAATAGTGGATGTGATTCTGGCGGAGGAAGATGAGGCACTAAATGCAAAGGACCCTCTAACAACCTGCCTCATAAACTTACAAAAGGTAGATGGTGAGGACTTGGCGGAGTGGGTTTTGGCTCTTGAAGGCCAAGGGCACTGGAAAAGAGAGATTGAATTCGAGCCATTACACTTCGAAGAAAGGAAGACCCTCCAGCTAAGCCATCAATCGAAGAGCCACCACAGTTGGAACTGAAACTGTTACCATCTCACCTCATGTATGCTTTCTTAGGACCTAACTCATCTTTACCTATTATTATCTTATCTAGTTCGTTATATGTGCAGGTAGAACAGCTTTTGCAAGTGCTGAAGGAGTGCAAAACTACAATTGTTTGGACCATTGTAGACATAAAGGGTATCAACCAAACATTTTGTATACATAAGATTCTACTGGAAGATGGGCACAAACCTTCCAGAGAACATTAAAGAAGGCTAAATCCCAACATAAAAGAAGTGGTGAAGAAATAAGTGATCAAGTGGTTAGATGCGGGAATCATTTTCCCCATCTCTGACAGCAACTAGGTCAACCCAGTTCAGTGTGTGCCAAAGAAGGATGGACTGACTATCGTGCAAAATGAGAACAACGAGTTGATCTCAATATAGTCACGGGATGGAGAATCTGTATGGACTACAGAAGGCTGAACAAGGACACCCGAAAAGACCATTTTCCACTACCATTCATTGATCAGATGTTAGATAGATTGGCGGGGAGGTCCCAATTTTGCTACTTGGATAGATACTCAGAGTATAACCAGATCTCTATTGCCCCGGAGGATATAGAGAAAACGTCGTTCACCTGTCCATATGACATATATGCTTTTTGAAGAATGTCGTTTGGACTATGCAATGCACCCACCACATTCCAAAGGTGCATGATGGCCATTTTCACAAATATGGTAGAGGACATAATGGAGGTTTCATAGATGATTTCTCATTGGCTGGGAACTCATTCGATGACTGCCTTATGAATCTGAGAAGAGTACTAAAGAGGTGTATTTTAGACTAATATGGTACTGAATTAGGAAAAGTGTCATTTTATGGTACATGAAGGTATAGTCTTGGGACACTTAGTGTCAAGTAAGGGCATTGAGGTGGACCGTGCTAAGGTTGATGTAATAGAGAAGTTGCCACCACTTACTTCCGTCAAGGCCATAAAAAGTTTTCTTGGTCACATCGGCTTCTACAGGCGGTTTATAAAAGATTTTTCCAAAATTGCTAACCCTTTGTGTAAATTTCTTGAAAAATATCACTTCTCCACGATCTCTTCCCAGATGAACAATTGTCATCCACGAACCTTGAGGTAGTGCCATGGTATGTAAATATTGCAAACGACCTGGCAAGCGGTATTGTTCCTTATGACTTGTCCTCTATGCAGAAGAAAAAAAATTCGTGATTTTTGCATGTATTTCTTGGATGAACCATATTTGTTCAGGATTTGTATTTATAACATGATCCGGAGATGTATCCCTGGGATAGACCAAGCTTCTGTTTTGCAAGCATGTCATGCTTCGCCTTATGGAGGCCATTTTGGAGGAGTAAGGACAGCTGCAAAACTGTTGTAGTTGGGCTATTATTGGCTGACTTTGTTTAAAGATGCACATTTTTGGGTGAAGGGCTGTGATGAGTGCTAATGGACAGGGAACATTTCCCGTCCACATGAGATGCCCATGAACCCAATTCAATAGGTGGAAGTATTTGATGTATGGGGAATCGATTTTAAGGGGCCATTTGTCAGCTCATATGGCCACAAGTACATACTGGTTGTTGTAGACTATGTCTTGAAATGGGTAGAAGGTGTGGAACTCCCGACGAATGATGCAAAGGGAGTCATTGGTTTTCTAAGAAAAAATATCTTTACCCGATTTGTCACTCCAAGGGCAATCATCAATGATGGAGGCACCCACTTTTGCAACCGAGCCTTTGCAGTTGTTAGAGAAATATGGAATTCGCCATAAGATTGCCACTCTGTATCACCCACAAACAAGTGGGCAAGTGGAGGTGTCAAACAGTGAAATCAAGAGTGTTTTGACCAAGGCTGTAAATGCTACTCAGACTGATTGGGTGAGAAAATTGATGATGCACTATGAGCTTACCACACTGCATACAAAACTCTTATTGGTATGTCACCCTACAAATTGGTGTTTGGAAAGGCATGTCACTTACCGATGGAGTTAGAACATAGAGCATTCTGTGTATTAAACCAATTAAATCTTGGCACGGAGGCTGCTGGTACGAGTAGAGTCATAGAGCTACCTGAACTTGATGAGTTTCGCTATCATGCTTTTGAGAGCACCCGGTTGTACAAAGAAAGGATGAAGATGATCCATGACAAAAATATTGTGGAGAGGAATTTTAAGCCTGGAGACATGGTACTATTGTACAATTCAAGATTAAAATTGTTCCTAGATAAGTTAAAGTCGCGATGGTCAGGACCATTTCATAATGAGGATGGTAATGAGGAAAAAGTTGTGTCGGTGATTTATTTGAAGGAACCCAAGTTGTTTACCATGAAAATGGTAATAACAATTAAATTTGATTATGGGATTCTAAAAATACGTGATCTATTTTTATGCTGGTTGTTAAGCAGTTGATACTATGTGTGAGACTTAAAAACGAGATAAGAGTTAGGAATAAGGTGATAATCAAACCGATAGGTTAACAATCGGGGCCTCGAGCTCGTCGATTCGGGGCCTCGAGGTCGATTCCGATGCTCGGCTGGGAGCTATCGAAGGCAGTTGGAGAGTGACTAACAGTTATAATAAAATCAACGAAGGCTCTTTATGGCCAATGATGAGCAATAAATGATGAACAATGAATAGAACACAATAAATATTAGCAATAAATGAGATAACGAGACCAAGAGAAAGTGTTAGAGAGCAGAGAGAATGTTCTAGTATATTTTGTATGGAGTCACCAGATGCTCTACAAAATGACAAGGATCCCCTTTATATATGAGAAGAATCCCAAAATAGTACAAAATGCATTAATTACAAAGATATGGAGATGGGACAGCTAGATGACGCCCTGATTCGGGTTTAGAGTAGCCCACTAGACTTTGTCAGCCCTAGCTGTGTGCCTTGGGAACTCCCCATTTCTACCATAGCCGGGGTCAACATTGTCCCAAGGTCGAGCTTCGATGAACCTCGAGGGAGGAAACTCGATCGTAGACCTATAGCCTCGAGCCTTCGAGATGATCTTCTGAGGTGCCTCGATGACGAGGAATTGGACCCTCCGATTTCACCGTATACACAAGTGTTGAGTAAACCTTGAGTATGATTGACTGCGTCGTGCCGCGACGTTAAATCAGGCGCTTTGTGGGAGGCAACCCATTGTAATGTTGTATTCGTCATGTTGTGACGTTAACTAAGGCGCTTGTTGGGAAACAACCCAATTCGTAGTTTATTTTAGCTTAACAGTCCACCAACCAACAACACTACTAACAAGCCTTTCGATAGATAACTCACAAGTTCTAGCTTCAACGACTTAGCCGCAACTTGGATAATCTTAAATACATGTAGATTAAGAGGTTCCCTCATTTAAACAGATAGAAAAACTCCAATTTGACCTTAATTCACCACGAAATATCCTTCCAATGCTGCCATAAGAACAAGGAAGCGAAACTAGCAATCAATTAGGGTTTTTCGACACTAGAATCACTTTAGAAGACTTGAAATCACCTAGGGTTGATATTAAAAACTTGAGGGAATAGTTTACAGAACATAAAACACTTAAAACAACCTCCCACACGAGCTGGAACCACAGAAAAATCAGCAACAACAAGAAGAACAAGAAACTTACTAGCGCCATGGGATTCCCGACTGTTGTTTGCCCTTGTTTGGGTCTTGGATCATGAGAGAACCTTGAGAGAGTGTTTTTAGGTGTCTAGGTTCCGAAGAGAATGAAAAAAATGAGTCAAAAAGGGGTTAACTCATCTCATATATATCAATATATCTCAACCGCCTTTGTGGGCCCCATTGAGAGCTGCTTGCGAGTCTCGCGAAAACGTGAATATCTCTCTACTCCGACATCGTATCGATGAACGGGTTAATGCGTTGGAAAGTACACGTATAGATATCAAATTTGGTGGGTAGATAACCCCATAATTCCAAGTGAATTGGGAGAATATCTTAGTAATAATTGACCTAAAGTTTAAGTAAAATTATGAACGTAAGTTGCGACAACTTTTCTCGACTTTTGTTTCATAACTCATTTGACTTCAATACTTATGATACGGATATTATATGATTCAAATACATTAAAACACGAAATCTTTATAATATTAAGCACCTCTAGTTTTACCCAAAAATACGGGTTACAACATCCTTGATTCGTTTAACTTCTAATACTTGTTAACCACTCTTATACACCCTTGTATCGTTTAATACCAATAGGATTAACTTCTTATCATCTCAAAGATAATCTCTTCTCAGATTTACGTCGACTAACTTACAGTGTGATCTAACGTACGTGAATATGGGATGTAACACCTTCCCCCCTTAGGAACATTCGTCCTCGAATTTAAGGTTTTATGGGGAGTCTAACTCATCGCGGATTCCAACGGAAATTTCTGGCCGAGTTTCCTCTATTAAATAGACACTAGCCAAACCTGCAAGCAGTTAAATCCAACCTATGGCCTCACAAGGCTATACAAAGCATTATTGATATGTACATTATCTGCATATCACCATTTTGTATTAAGGAAGAGTATTCTCAAGAGATTGCTTACCTCATAGAGCCATTTCAGCTTCCATTGTGTCATGCGTTCCCCCGACATCCTCGTTATCTTCAATGTGGAATAGGTAAGGGTATTTAGACTTCATCTCCTCTTCTGCCTCCCATGTCATTTCTTCCATATTCTTGTTCCTCCACAATACTTTGACATAAGCTACATCCTTGGTTCTCAACTTGCGAACATGTCGATCTAATATAGCCACTAGCACTTCTTCATATGATAGATCCTCCGTAACTTTTACATATTTGATAGGGACGACGCGAGAAGGGTCTCCAATACATTTCCTCAACATAGATGCATGGAATAATGGATGGACAAATTCAAATTCGGATGGCAATTCTAACTCATAAGAAAACTGTCCAATTCGTCGAAAAATCTTGTACTGCCCGATATACCGCGGACTCATCTTACCTTTCTTCCCAAAACGTTTAACACCCTTCATTGGTGAGATACTCAGGAAAAACCAATCACCAACCTCAAACACCATATCATGACGTCGGACATCGAAATAAGACTTTTGCCTGCTTTGCGCCGTCCTAAGTCGTTCTTGTATCACTTTCACCTTCTCAATGGCTTGGTGAATCAAATCTGGCCCATATAATTCTGTTTCACCAACTTCGAACCCTCCAACTGGTGATCTACATCTCCACCCGTACAGTGCCACGTATGGGGCCATTTTAATACTGGAATGGTAGCTAGTATTATAGGAGAATTCTATAAGTGGAAGATGGTCATCCCAATTCCCCTTAAAATCTAGAACACATGCTCATAGCATATCTTCAAGTGTCTGAATGGTACGTTCAGCCTGTCCGTCAGTCTGCGGATGGAATGCAGTGCTGAGATTCACTTGTGTGCCTAAACCCTTCTGAAAAGACCTCCAAAAGTTAGTCGTAAATTGAGCTCCTCGGTCTGATATAATAGATAATGGAACACCATGAAGCCTAACAATCTCCTTGATATACAACTTCACATAATCTTCCGCTGTGTAAGTTGTCTTAACTGGTAGAAAATGGGCAGATTTTGAAAGTCGATCAACTATCACCCAGATGGAGTCAAACTTATGATAAGAAAGAGGTAATCCAATAATGAAGTCCATATTGATCACCTCCCATTTCCAGGTTGGAATATCTATATTCTAAATCAATCCAACGGGTTTCTGATGCTCGATCTTTACGTGTTGACAATTAGGACACTAGGCTACAAATTCTGCAATAGACGTTTTCAAGTTATCCCACCAATATTGCTCCTTAACGTCATGATACATCTTTGTCGAGTGGGGATGGATAGAATATTGGGACTAGTGAATCTCAATCATAATCTTCTCTAGCAACCCTGCCACATTAGGCACACATAATCGGCCCTGGTATCTCAGTGACCTATCTCCTACGATCTCAAAAGCCGTAATCTTACGCTGCTAAATGCCCTCTCTCAATTGTACTAAGCTAGGATCTTCATATTGCCGTACTTTTACCTCGGCTACCAAAGTTGATTCTGTTGTATTTTGTACAGTAACAACTCCGTCATCATAGTCTAACATCTGATTCTCATATTGGCCAGCTGATGAAGCTCTTTGGTCAACCCTTGTTTACCTGCCTCAATATGTATACTAAGCTTCCCATTGACTTACGGCTGAGAGCGTCTGCCACAACATTGGCTTTACCGGGATGGTACAATATCTCGACATCGTAGTCTTTCAGTAATTCAAGCCACCTACGCTGCCTCAAATTCAACTCCTTCTGTTTTAAGATGTATTGTAAACTCTTCTGATCTGTGTATATGTTAACATGGACGCCATATAAGTAGTGCCGCCAAATCTTCAAAGCATATATTACTGCAGCCAATTCCAAATCATGAGTCGGGTAATTCTTTTCATGTTTTTTCAATTGTCTCGATGCATAAGCAATCACATTCCCACGTTGCATCAATACGAACCCCAAACCTATAATTGAGGCATCACAAGACACCACATAACCTTTTGTTCCTTATAGGAGAGTGAGCACTGGCGCGAATGTCAATCGATTCTTTAGCTCCTAGAAACTACGTTCACAAGCGTCAGACCGCTGGAACTTGGTAGCTTTATGTGCTAACTTAGTTAATGGTACTGATATAGAGGAAAACCCTTCTACAAACCGCCTATAATATCCTGCTAGCCCCAGGAAGTTGCGGACTTCTGACGGTGTTGTAGGTCTCGACCAATTCTTTACTGCATCGATCTTCTGAGTGTCGACACTAATACCCTCGTCAGATATTACATGGCCAAGGAATGCTACTGAGTTCAGCCAGAATTCACATTTGGAGAGCTTAGCATAAAACTTACGATCCTGAAGGGTCTGTAATATTATCCGCAAGTGGACCGCATGTTCCGCCTCCGAATAAGAATACACCAGAATGTCATCAATGAATACAATCACGAACACCTCAAGATAGGGCCTGAATACACTATTCATAAGATCCATAAAAGTTGTTGGGTCATTTGTTAGCCCGAACGACATCACCAAGAACTCAAAGTGCCTATATCTGGTTCGGAAGGCCGTCTTCGGAATATCCTTCTTCTTAACCCTCACCTGATGATACGCAGAACGTAAGTCAATCTTGGAGAAATACTTGGAACCTTGGAGTTGGTCAAATAGGTCGTCAATCCTTGGAAGTGGATACTTGTTCTTTATGGTAACCTTATTCAACTATTGATAATCGATACATATCCTTAACGACCCATCTTTCTTCCGCACGAACAAGACTGGTGCACCCCAAAGTGAAGTGCTAGGCCTAATGAAGCCCTTATCCAGCAAGTCCTTCAACTGTGCCTTCAACTCTTGCAACTCTGCCAGGCCCATCCTGCATGGAGGGATAGATATCGGTTGAGTGTCAGGCAACATATCAATGCTAAACTCAATCTCCCTTTCAGGAGGAAGGCCTGGAGTTCATCTGGGAAAATGTCTGGAAATTCATTGACCACGGGAATTTATTGTGGAGTAGGCGGCTTTGCCTCCTCATCCCTAACGCGAACGAGATGATAAATGTAACTTTTTTTGAGATCATCTTCCTTGCCTAAGATAGGAAACAAACCTACCTTTTGGTGTAGCAATGTTCCCTTCCATTCAATAACAGGTTCACCAGGAAACTGAAACCTAACCATGTTCGTATGGAAATCAACATTAGCATAGCATGAGGCCAACCAGTCCATTCCTATTATCACATCGAAATCAACCATTTCTAAACTCAAATAGATTCGTCGAGGTTTGATGACTACAAATCATCACGGTGCAACCTCTATATACCTTTCTACCAATCACAGAATCTCCTATCGGAGTGGATATGGCAAGTGGTTTACTTATCAATTCAAGTTCAATGCCAAACTTATTAGCCACAAAGGGTGTAACATATGATAATGTAGATCACGGATCAATCAACGCATATACATCATAAAAACACACACATAATATACATGTAACAACATCCGGAGATGACTCGAGATCCTGTCGACCTACTAGAGCATAGGTTCGATTTTGAGTACCACTCAAACTCGGCACTGCACCTCTACCTCTACCACGACCTGTCGACTGCTGAAAACCCCGTGCTTAAGATCGGACTGATGAGGAAGAACCAGACAAAGATCTAGTCGGTTGAGTTATACCACCACTTCCTCTATTAGGACAATCCCACATCATATCGCCAGGTTGTCCGCAAGAATAGCACGCATCGGAACCTCGACGGCACAGTCCAAAGTGGGCCTTGCCGCACTGATCACAATAGGGTGTTGGGGGTCTCGTCTGACTATTATCCATATGATATTGTGAGCCGATGCTCGTGAACTCTGACCTGAACTAGAATATATAGATCGATCATATTGAGGCCTCTGAAACTATGCAGGA